ACAGGACGTGGAACCAGAAATTGATGCAGGACTTTAAACTGGTCTCCTCCCTGGAGCCAGGCTTACTGAGATAAAAACGGAACCTCCCACATATTGAGCCAAAAACCCAGAGGACTCTGCGGGGGAGGAACAGTGGACGATCAGGAGACGAGACAAACACTAAAACCTTCTTTCCACTGGCTGCCAGATTCAAGGGCATGAACCAAGGCACAAACTGAACAGACAGACTAACAAAAAGACAAGTAATGATCTGGCACTGAATGCTCAGGCTGAACTGAATATAACCCAGAGGAAACAGGTGAGAGGAATAAATTATAATTGAGACAGGGAGGGAAAATGACAGGTGAAAGGAATGACTCATTAAGGGAGAGCAAACAGGCCAGATCATGACAGTTTCTGTTCTAACTAAGGGTCTGACCCCCTAGTGACCTGGGCCACTTCTGTTTTGTGGCTCTGGTTTGTAGCTTTTCTTTAACTTTCTTTAACAGCTGATTAAACTAATAACAGAATATTTGTTTTGCATTGGTTTGTTGTGTCTTAGCATAATTTATACTTTTGCAGAAAGCTTTGTATTTGGATAGAGTTTTTTACTTTGCTGCTTCTTTTGCAGTCTTTTTCATTTCTATTTGTTTTGTCTGTTTTTGTGTTATTCTTAGTTTTGAGTTTTTTTAGCCTTTATTGTGTTTGTTAGGGTGTGTTCACACCGAACAAGAAACATGCAAAAATTTGTCCAGGTTCGTCAGCAAATCTCCTACACCATGGAGTTTGCTGGTCGTTGGATTCACCTCAGAGCGTTAGGTAAGATGGCATTCTGGAGCTCAGACAGGAGAAGCGGGAAATCAGTGCAAGAAAACCAGCAAAGAAAGGAAAAAAAAAAAGAACTAGGACCAGCCGATTAAGCCTCTAGAACTATGGAACCACAGCGGGAGATCGGAGGATCCACCCAGGGAATCGGTGCTCTACAGTGGGGAGAGGATGCAGGGCGAGAAGCCGGCACCAGAGGGGAGGGGCTACAGCTGGCCGGGGCTAGCTATAGAATGGGTGACCAAACGTCTTCTTTTTCCTAGACATGTCTTACTTTCCAGACCTAAAAAAATGTCCGGGGGAATTTCAAAATCGTCCGGGATTTTGGTTGACTACAGTGCAGTACGTAGTTGAAACACACCAGGCATTCGAGCCGAGCCGTCAGCTCCGCGGCTGGTCCGGGAACCCGGGACAGAGCGACCGAACCTGACCCGGTGATGGTAGCCTGGACACCTTCGGCCCCTTTGCTTCCCGCCGCCTGCCCCCCTCCTCCCACTGAGGCTAGGCGGCTCATTGCTCTCTACTGAGGTCCGGTCCAGCAGTCTACTAATGTAAAGTACATTACTAAGCTAACTTAAGCCAGGCATACACTGTGCGATATTTTCAATTGTTGCACGTAGCTACAGCTCTCACTGTACGAAGAAACCATAGGGTTTAAAAGTTCACAG